AATATAAATCTTACTTTTCTTCTTTTCTGCCTAAAATCGTTTTTTTCGTTTTATTCCTTTCATGATTATTTTTCGAAGATAATACTTTAGCACAATGTTAGCACAACTTAGCACAACCTAGCACAATAAAAAAAATTTCGAAAATCAAAAAGTGGGGGGCTACCAAAAAAACGGTTTTTTCCATTTTTCTCGCTCATTTTTCGTATTAAAAATTTATAATTCGAGCACAATGTAGCACAAACCTAGCACAAATCAGCACAACTGTCAAAATTAATAAATTCGAAAAGTGGGGGGCTAACTTCATACAGGCGATCAGTATGCGTGTGATTCTAACTCTTGATATTAAATTAGAGGCATTAGTGGTATTTTGTTTGACTTCATATTAATGTAACTATGGACACAATTGCAAACAGAAAGATTGTCATCCTTTTTCTCGTGAATTTAGGAACGTCTTGTCCTCAATAGGAGAATTCCCCCGATGGAAAAGATTTTCACTGGAAAACAGACGCAGAGACTCACAAAGAAAAGGGCTGCAACCATTCTATCCGCGATTGTACATGCATATTCAGTTCGTTTGCACATGATCACATAGATACTACTAACGTCTCTAATGAACTATTCGGAGACTAGTATGTTGGCCTTCTTTACCCTATGTACTAGATATACGCCAGCATATGTGTAGCCAAATGGTAGTTTGCAAATTTGCTTAAATTTAATCTCTCGAATTACATTCTGGTGGTGTTATTATACCATTTATACATGTTCTCACATGTTGTCTGCCTCTCAGTAATATTTTATTTGACATATATAAACTTCAATTTTTAATATGAAGCAAAAATATAAAACAGGACTCAATGTAGATGCTATATGCTAATTTGATGCTAATGATAGTTGTAAAAATTGTTTTCATATATTTTACAAAATACGGATGATATTAAAATGCATTAACGCACGTACATTCGTACTGTACAAGCATATGCATTTTTATAAATAGGAAGAATCTGCAAACTAAAATCTAGTAACAGTCACGGGTCCGATATTCAATCAGAGAGATGTACGAGAGTCGTTTGAGGATTGCTAGTATTCGCGAGGAAGCGCGTCTGGATCGATAAGTACGCGAGGTCGAGGTACACGACAAACACGTTGAAACGCGCGTAACACGTTCGCGTGAAGGAGAAGAAGCGTTACGTAACAGATACGAATACGATCTGGATCGATCAATTTCTTCTTGCAGGCCTGCGACTGCCTGGGAGTCAGCAAGGAGTGTGATTACTTCGGTCTGAAATATCAGAACGCGAAGGGCGAGGAACTTTGGTTGAACCTGAGGAACCCTATAGAACGGCAAACCGGCGGTGGCGTGGCGCCGCTAAGATTCGCCTTAAGGGTTAAGTTTTGGGTACCACCGCACCTGTTGCTGCAGGAGGCCACCAGGTAACTAGTTCGCGCGCTTATCGTTATTTGTCCGAATCTATTCTCGACGGGCTCTCTAATTGCTCAAGTTTAATTTCAACACGGAGATAATTTTATAGTAGAAATTATTTTAGAAGTTTGTAATCTCGAGGAAGAGAGAGATCGGCATTATGCAATAATTGACTATACTTCCATTTCATGTATGCTATTGAAGATTTAATATATTTCTGGTGAATCTGTTATTTCTAGTGAAATCTTTATTTTTCTTAACAAGATAAGAAGTTTCACTGACTGAATCTATTCTTGTGCACTACAAAAAGCACAGTAAAAGAATTTGTATGAAACAAGAAAAAACTATAATATTCTCTCCATGTATAATATATAAAATTGCTTTTTCGTTTTGTCAATGTTAGCTGAGGACTATTTGCGGTCGAATTACGTCAATTACAAAAATGCTTGGCCACTCCCTAGATTGAAAATTACTAAAAAGTCTCAACTAAACGTATCTGTGTCTAAGTAATCATGTATCGTTGATCATTGAAAGAGGAGGCAACGATATGTCCAAGTAGCTGTGATAGTTCGACGTTTCGTTTTTTACTTCAGTAAAGAGAGTTGTATGTTTATGTGTTACGCATAATCAACAGAAAAGTAATTCGATTCAATTTAATATAAGCTGACTGTCTTATGGTAAGAAATGGTAAGCGGTCGGCTTTTCTATGGATTCCTCCAAGAACAAATAATCTTTCTTACTGAAACGTCAAACTGTCACAGCTGCGTATATCGTCATCGTCTCTTCGAGTAATTAACAGTTACGACACACGACTGTGTGGAAATGGCTGGTTGAAAATGTTTAGTAACTCCCGATCTAGATAATGGCCGGGCATATCTGAATTCTGGTGTGCATGTCGTTTGAGTTTTGATGTGAACCAAATAATTATAACCCAGCATGTACAAGCGAAGTAAACGTTAATTCAACCATATAACGCACGTTGCACTCGACTAACCGTCTTAACCGAAAATCCGCGCATCAATGTGTCTTCGTACAGTTACCCAACACGGCGCTATCGCCATGATATGGTAAAGCTGCATTTATAGTCCCTCATCTTGGAGCGAGGATCGAGGAGGGCCCGCGTGTAATCTCGTAAACTGCGTCCCAAGAGACTAATGTTTTCGTTGCCTCTACGTAGTCGGTTGAGGCGAACGGATGGCTTACACGCGTTACAGGCAAATCGTATGCGCCAGAAGACGAGGATGAGCGATCGTGTTGTGAATTGCGAATAGCGGCCCTCGCCGCGACAAATCGCTCGCCACGCGATTTCGAGCAGCTTATCTCGCGAATTGCCGCGGCGTTATCCACGGATAAATCAGTCGACGATGAGGCATAATGAGCTCACGGCGGTAATCTGCTACGGAGGTCCCTTTGCCGATGAGGAAGCTCTTAATTGCCACGTCAGAGTTCTTAATCCGAGAGTCTCTTTCCCCTCGTCTAATCCCTCGTCTCTTTCTTCGCGCGCAATAAATTTCGAGTATCGGTAACTGCAAGCGTCTGGGTCAATATCTCTTCGCCACCCTCCGGCGGCGTTCATCGCGGGCTAAGTCGCTGCCTTAATTACAGGACATTTGCATCGAGCCCTCTCCGCGTTTCGAAGCGAGGTCCTTTTTGCGCCCTTTATTGATCTCGCCGTTGCGCGATCATTGCACGCGAGGTGCCTATATTAAATATCAATCGAAAATTCGCGAAATTGTTTGTTGTATAATTACAAATGTGCGCACAATACATGCACTGACGCATCTCGCGGTGGACGCTTTACCGTGGTCCGCAACGATAAACCTCGCGAGACTCGCACAACTCCGGGGTTGTATTTTAAAATTAGCGTCCCGTACTAGAAATACACGGGATGAGGAACTGTCTCGGGAAATGCACATTGTGAGTATTCGGTCGGGCAGCAAGTCGTTTTGTTTGAAGTTCTGATTGGCTCGTTACCGCGGCGAGCGTGGCTCGGCGCAGCGTATTCAAAGCGAGTGTCGCGAACTCTCCGCAGTTGTGAATTGCGTCCGTTGTAATCCGCGCGGATGCACTCGTGCGCGAGTGCAACGGCGAGAACGAGACGGAGAGGCCTCCGAATTGAAAATCGTTCCCGCCGTAAAAATTGCTCTCTCGGGGAGCCGGAGAGAAACAGAGAAAAAATCGTACGGCGAGATAGAAAGCGAGAGCAAGAGAGAGAGAGAGAGAGAGAGGAATGAAGGGAGAGAGAGGAAGGAGCAAACGGAACTCGCTCGTGCAATCAGTCGGATTCCTTGGGCGATCCACGCGATCCATCGATCCTCGAGCGAGCACGTACAAAATTGCATGCTGGCGTCGCCGTGAGAGTACTGATTGCATCGGGCAATATTGTTGTTGGATGTGTTTTCGGGCTCTGCGCGTGGGCGCTTCTGCTCGGGAGATACACGGTAAATAATGTTATGCACGGCTCGGCGTTACGACGTCGATGCGATTTATTTTAAATTATTCGTGGCACTTGTATCGGGAGCATATCGGCATCCGCACCTCCCGATACGTGATACACTCCGTGACCGTACAGTGAGCACATCGCAATAGTCGCGCGCGAAATTGGATCACGTCGGTGAGGCATGAGAGATACATAAAGTGTGATTTCGAGTTTTCCTCATTACGTGCACGCTTGTCAATTGTATCGTGCATCCGACAGTGAAAAATTCCGGTTTCCGCGACCCTGACACGGAAATGAAAGAACTGAACTGGTCATGCGTATCGGCCACGCGCAGTCGATCGCATCGATAATACGGTTACGGTATTTGGAATGGAATTACGCGCCGATGCATTTCTCGCTCGCTCGCCCACGCCATCATGCTTGGAGCATCGGCAAGCGATACGCTCTCACGTTCCGCGTAGAGATCGCGATTCCACGCTGATCGTCGTGTCCCGAAACGAGGAAGAAATTCACGACACGCGACTCGTCATGTCTGCGTCATCTCGCGTCAAAAGTTTTCGACGAATGGCAATGAAATGCAATCCATGTCGGTTGCAATTAATAGCGGACAGCGCAGCGGTCCGCAGATTTCAACAGATCGAAACATAATTCCAATTTAATCGCGGTCACTCGAATTACCTCTCGTGAAGCTAAACGCGCGAAGAGTAATGCGCCCGGCGTGCGAATTAATTCGTCGCCAGTACCGCGACGTTGCTACAATTGCGCCAGCTGACGCAACAGTCTCTCTCTCTCTCTCTTGCTTTTTGTAATCTCGCATTCAGCAAAGTGTGTACTGAGAAAAAAAGTTCAAGTAATGTAACAAAACACCAATACTCGCAACAAATGGTTCGCTAATATGGGACGGCAAATGATCCCCATAGTGGAAACCAATAATTTGTTATTTTTAATTTGCTGCTCTAAGCAACACTTTTGTAATGGAGACATAACTAACATGACTTAAATAGATGAGAATAAATATGATTTGTGTTTCGAGCAATATATGTTTGTTAAAATGACAAATGATAGGAAACAATTGTCTCCCCGATTGAGTTGTTCGATGTCTCCCTAACGATCATCAAATAACAAACGTTTGTTTTGTTTTGATAACTGATTTTTCCCAGAGTACGCGTCAGATTTACAGCGAATTCTTTCCCGAGTCGAAATTTTGATTCTACATTGACTCTGCAGATTTCGTCGAACGTGAAAAGTCAATGAAGAATCTCAAGATGTACAAACTATTGCCTTACCTCGATGCTGCAGATGTTTGTTTACTGCCGTTTTTTCCGTGTTATAGCAGCTCGACGAAGCACTCGTTCAAGAATTATTTAATGTTCGAACTCTTTTTATTTATTTTCAATTATTTTTAAATTATCTAATATTTTTAGATTGTCTCTCAACGTATCTTAAGAAAATTTCACCCTTATACTGCGGACCGACTGGAACGAGGTGACGATAAAGATTTGAGATTCAATGTTCACCTCAATATTTTCGAACAAAATGATAATCTAGAGATGCACGACACGTTCCAAGCTGTCTCTTCGGCGCTTCTTATCCGATACATTATGCTTCGCGGAAAAAATGTCAGAAAAATTAAATGCCTGGATGCATCGAATGTACAAAATCAACGTTCGCTCACTGCCATACATTAATATATTATTTGGCAAATATATACGTACTGTTCGCAATTGGCGAAATGTGACTATATTCAAACGAAATTTATATGAGTAAGCAGATAAATTATTTAATAAAGATTAATGTGTGCATAGAGGGATAAAAGAAGAGAATGTTAATCTCATCTCTTCCTAATTTTTCTTTTTTCTTTTTTTCTCTTTTCTTATTTTCTTTTTTCCTCTCTCTCCTTTTTTTTCTTCTTTTTTTAATGGAAGTTTTGATGAAATTAAATTATATCAGTTCTTATCTTAAAGAGTTGATATAAAGCTGCAAAAAGCAAAAATAACAATTATGTGTCCAATAATGTTGTTCATCAATTTAATTTTACGTTCGATACAATAACAAAGACTAAACAGAAAAAGACATTGTAATATCAACAAAATCGAACTCGTAGCCAAAGAAACATTATTAGACGTGAAAATTAGCACTTACAAAATTTATATTATATTCTAAGGCCGATATTCATAGAATTGTAAATAATTTGAAACCTTTGGTCAAGAATACAATTAATTATACATTTCGCACTCATATAAACCGTTACTTGGCTGTTTGAATCAATGTGTTTCTTGTGCGAAATAATAATTTAATAAAATATAAAAAATATATAAATATTAAAAATATCAAATATAAAAACTATAAATATAAAAATAAGAAATATAAAAGATAATATCTTTTAATTGAAAATCAATAAAACTATAATAATAATTATCATTATTATAATGTCGAGTAGTGACAAACTATGAATGTCGGCCTAAATTTCGACTCGGGTATTTCTTTATTCCCGGTAAGTTCGTCAAACGCCCGCCAAAAACGGAAATTTCCTGTATAATAAAGTAGCACACCTTGAGGGTATATAAAGTA